TGGGGAAGCGGGGTGAGAATGGGGAGGCAGGTGGGGAAGCGGAGTGAGAATGGAGATGCAGGTGGGGAAGCAGGGTGAGAATGGGGAGGCTTCTTGCGGAAGCAGTGTAAGGTTGGGAGGGATAGGTGGGGGAGTGGGGTGAGGATGGGGAGATAGATGGGGAAACGGGGTGAGGATGGGGAGATAGATGGGGAAGTGGGGTGAGGATGGGGAGATAGATGGGGAAGTCAGGTGAGGATGGGGAGATAGATGGGGAAGCGGGGTGAGGATGGGGAGGATTGTTGCGGACGCAGTGTAAGGTTGGGAGGGATAGATAGGGGAGTGGAGTAATGTTTAGGGGAGTGGGGTGATGTTTGGGGGAAAGATAGGACAGTGGGGTGATATTGGGGGATAGGTGGGGAAGAGATTTGAGGATGGAGAGATAGGTGGGGAAGTGGGGTGAGGATGGGGAGATAGATGGTGAAGTGGGTGAGGCTGGAGGGCAACATTAGAATGACAGCAAGCTGGTTTATTGAAATGGCAAGCAATTGCACGTTCGGGGTCATTCCATGTACAAAGCAGGTATTCCACAAAGCAATCACCCAGTCTGCCAATGGTTTCGCCAATGTAAAGGAGACTATGTTGTGAGCAACGAATAGAGTAAACTTGATAGAAAAAAGCACTCATAAAATGCTGCTTCACCTACTTGCACAGTGAGGAGAGAGGAGATGAATGGGCAATTGTTACACCTTCTGCATTGGATGATATCATGGGTGAATTAGAACGTGTCAGATGTAATGTAGGAGTGGACTAGGGTGTCGCAGAGAAAATGGTCACTGAAATATTGAAAGTGGAAGAGTGGGGAAGATGTGTTTGGTGATGGCATCTTGTTGGAGGTGGCAGAAATGTGGAAGATGATCCTTTGAATGCAGAGATTAGTGAGGTAGAAAATGAAGCCGATGAGATGGGGTAAGGGCAGAATATGGATTGGACATGGCTAAGGGCCCTGTCAACCACTGTAAGGGGGAATTTCTCAGTTGAGGAAAAGGAGAGCATTTTGGAAGAACCGGACTGGAAGGTGACATCAAAATAGATGTGACAGAGGCAGAGAAACTGGGAGAATGGAATGGAATTCTTGCATGCTGTAATATTTCAATGATGCAGCACAAGCTCGAGGAACAACACCTCATTTTCGAAGTAGGCACTTTTTAGCCTCTAGGACTCAATGTTGAATTCCACAATTTCAGAGGCTGACCACATATTTGTTCTTTATTTTCTTCTCCCTGCATCTCCACACACATAAGCACACACACAGAGTCTTATTATGTCTTGTCTTGTTTTCTTCTTCTCAGTAGACACAAACTATTTTCTCTCTTTCACATCATCATTTACAGCAATTTCACAATTCTATTTCTCTTTCAACACAATTAATCCCTTTATCTTTTGTATTGGGCCTCCCTACCATCTATTCCCTTTGCCCCTCCTCCACCTCTGTCAAAAGTATACTAAAACAAATTACAACCCTTTCAATTCTGAAGAAAAGTTATACTGGACACAAAATGTTAATTCTGTTTCTCTTTCCATTGATACTGCCAGACCCACATCCTGCCTGTAGTGTGGTGACCAGAACTGATATACAACTCCATCATAAACTCCTTGTTCTTCCTCTGAGTTTTAAATCTGTCAAAGACTTTTATTCTGTCATTGTTCTTCCAAGTGTTCATTATTTTCCTACTACATCAAGCCAAATTATGCTGCAGTAGCAAGCACCTCTACAGCAACTACTCAGAGATAGTAAGAACTGCCGATGCTGCAGTCTGAGGTGCTCCTCAGATGCTGCCTGGTCTGCTGTGTTCCTCCAGCTCCATACTGTGTTATCCACAGCAACTACGATTGTTTATGCTGCATTTCCAACGTAGAACACCAGAGGGTGCCAGAGCCATATAAAATTGTGGCCATTGGGACATCATGGTACAGTTATTAAAACTGCACCACAAACAGACAATATCTTGAATCTGCGATAACAAATTTCCGAAGAAGGGTCTAGGCCCGAAACGTCAGCCTTCCTGCTCCTCTGATGCTGCTTGGCCTGCTGTGTTCATCCAGCTCTACACTTTGTTATCTCAGATTCTCCAGCATCTGCAGTTCCTACTATCTCTGAATATCTTGAATCTACTGCATTAATTTTTTTTTGGGAAGTGTCCAAGATGTTTGGCTCAAAACAAAACAAACATGGAAAATCCTGGCTGTTCTAGATATTGCTAACCCTATTGTAGATATACAGCTTATTACTAACAGAGGTGACTATTTACCAATGAGTTGTCCTGGCAGTACAGGGAGTGTACGTGTCTGTGAGGTTTGAGTTCCCCAGTGCTAATCGGCTGCATAAAGTAACACGACAGCAGGAAGTAGTTGGAGTTAGCATCCTGATTCTTTTCTTAATGTGCATTCCTGAGATTTGAGTGTTTCTGATAAGTGAGGCAAACGAATCAAATCTTGGCTGGAAACAACAAATGCTGGAGATCGCAGTGGGTCAGACAGCACCCATGGAGAGAGAGCAAGCTAACGTTTTGGGTCTAATCTAATCTTGGGACATGTAAGCAGAAGGATTGAACACATACCC